CTCCTGTGCCCTCTCTTCTCGAGGTGGGTGAATCAGAATTCCTCTCGTTGTCCCTCTCCCAGGCTTCAGAGGTGCAGGCGTTTCCCCCAAAAGGGTGTGGTCCATCCATGGCAAGTGACGACATCACCAGCTTCCCTTTGGCTCTCCCAGGCAGAGAGGGAGCATCCTTTTCTCAGTCGGAACCCCAGGATCAGGAGGACTTGGGGCCTGTTAGGAAGAGAATGAAAGGAGGTCAGTCTCATGGTTCCGTGTCTCCTTCCTGGCTTGCGAGTGCCTCAGGGTCTCACCATCACATCTGCCGAAACCAGAGGGCACTGTCTTAGGCTGATAATTGTGGTACCTCAGCATCTTCCAAATGGCGGCCTGGACCTTTTCCTTTCCCAATTTTTGTGCCTCTGGATTGAACTGTGTTTACTGCCAGGTATTCTCTTAGGCTGGAAACTGCATTCTTTTGTTTGTTTGTTTCTTTGGTTTTTGTTTGTTATTTTTGTTTTTTGCAGGGGAGGTAATTAGGTTTATTTATTTATTCTTGGAGGAGGTGCTGGGGATTGAACCCAGGGCTTCATGCATGCTAAGCATGTGCTCTACCCTGAGCTACAGCCTCCCCAGCAAAGATGCCCTGTAGGTTACAGTGAGGTCTTGTCTTCAGTCCAGGGTAAGACGTTTGTCAAACAAAGAGACCGAGCATCTGTTGCCTCCTCGGTCGTGAGGGGCAGAACAGGTTTTTTCCCTCGCAGATGCAGATGGGGATCCCAACCTGGACCTGCCAACGGGGGTCGCAGACCAGGGTAGAGACACCCAGGCCAGCCTTGAGGTCAGAGCTGCAGCCGTGAAGCCAGACAAGATGGAGGAGACACTCACCTGCATCATCTGCCAGGACCTGCTGCACGACTGTGTGAGGTATGGGGCCATGGGGCCTGCAGTGGTTCCTTGCAGCCAGTGTCCCCAAACCCCCTCCATGCTCCTCCATGGGAGCTTAAGAGTCTGTCCAAATTTCGGCTTAAATGCAGGTCTTCTCCCCACCCAGTGTCTCCACCCTGCGCCTTCCTGGTTGCACCTGCTCCCTGTCCCTCCTGGAACAGGCTGCCACGTGGCCTCTAGTTCCTTGTAGCTGGCGAGCACAGAGTTGAGCTTTTTGCACAGGGACTGTTTCACAGGTGGGTGGTGGGAGCAGACAGCATCCCCCTGTCTTAGTGGAGGATGCAGGCCCCGCAGCAGCAAGCCCCGCACCTGGTGTGGGTGCAGCGCCTGAGAAACACAGGCTGGGGGCCCAGCTGAGTCAGAGGGGTGCAGGGGGTGGGCAGTTGTCTGATTGTTTTGGAAGCAAACCTCAGCTGGAGCAAGGCCTCATCCTCCTCTGTGGAGAGAGGCAGTGTGACCCAGGACCCTGCTTCTCATGCCAGGCCAACCATGTCCCTGGGGCCCTAGCGTCTGGTGCACTGCGGACGCTCTAGCCTGCATGCCCCGCAGGGTGTCTGAAGGCCTGTCCTTGTGCCCCAGCCTGCAGCCCTGCATGCACACCTTCTGCGCAGCCTGCTACTCCGGCTGGATGGAGCGCTCTGCCCTGTGCCCCACCTGCCGCTGTCCAGTCGAGCGCATCTGCAAAAACCACATCCTCAACAACCTGGTGGAGGCCTACCTGCTGCAGCACCCGGACAAGGGCCGCAGCGAGGAGGACATGCGCAGCATGGCCGCCAGGAACAGGATCACTCAGGACATGCTGCAGCCCAAAGTCCGGAGGGCCTTCTCGGACGAGGAGGGCAGCTCCGAGGACCTGCTGGAGCTGTCAGACGTGGACAGTGAGTCCTCGGACGTTAGGTGAGCCTCGCAGGAGGGGAGCAGGAGCAGGGCGGGGGGCACGGGTCCCACTGCCACCTGGAACCTGGGCTCCACCAACATGTGACCAGGTGGTGGCGTCGCCTGCCTTTGCGCTGAGGACGCCGCTCACTCAGGTGACCATGATGAGGCTTCCTCACTGCCCTGCCTCCCGTGATGGCCTATTTTTAGATATATGTGAAACATCTATGCTTTTTTTTTGCTGCTGATCTGCATTTTTTCCAGTTTATTAATACAGAACTGACACGCAGCCCCGTAAGATCAAGGTGTACAGCGTAATGCTTTGGTTTCACCTACTGGGAGAGGGTTGCTGGGCCCTCGTCGAGTGCCGTGGTTCACCTGCAAGGACGAACCCCATGTCCACACGCTTACTCTGTAGCTTCTCTAGTGACCATGGTCCTGTGGCATAAGTTGTGACACTCATCACCTGTCAGGATATCATTGCGGAAAAGCACCGGTCCACCCGGCTGAGAGGACGCAGTCCTAGGAGAGCATGTTTAATCCGCTGTAGAACATTGATGTTTCCTGACTCAGAAGTCCAGGGGTGTGAATTTTGTGTTGAGGCCGTATTTTTTTTCTTTTCTTGTACGTAGATATTTTTATTGAAGTATAGTCAGTTTACAGTGTTGTATCAATTTCTGGTACACAAAACAGTGCTTCAGTCATACGTGAACATACATATGTTCATTTCTATATTCTACTTCACCATAGGTTACTACAAGGCCATAATATTTAAAAAGGTAACCCCCTACCTTGGGCCCCCAGTTTATGATCTTTGTTTCTTTTCACAGAGCTTTGTCAATACTGGTCAAGGAAAAAGAAAAAACCAAAATCACTTTTGTATGAATGTTTTACTGTGTATTCATCTAGCCATACTTGTGTGGTTGTACACACTTTTTTTTTGAAATATCTTATTTGTGTATTATTGTATTATTTACTTATTTTATTTTGGCAGGGGCAGAGGAGGTAATTAAGTTTGTTTCTTTTTAGAGGAGGGACTGGTGATTGAACCCAGGACCTCGTGCATGCTAAGCATGCACTCTACCACTGAACTATACCCTCTGCCCCGCACACATACTTTTTTTCTAACAATTAAGAAAGTTTGTAATATTTGGAATTCGGGATCAAAGCTGTAGCGCACATCCTGCGTGTATACTTTTGCACACGTCCTGTTATTTCTTGGAGATGTGTCCACGAAGTAGGGTCTTCAGGTCAGGAGTCTCCCTGAGAGGTGCCTGGCAGGACTTCTGACATCCGAGGGCAAGGTCCCAGTGATGGTGCGCCACCTGGTGTTGGGGGACACCAGCGGTCCCTCCTGACACTAGGTGTGAAGGAGCAGGAAAGTGTCTGGTTCCTTTCACGTGTGTCTCCAAGGGAAGAGGTTGATTGTTTTTTCACTCTCACTTTCTAGTCAGGTCCTGCCTGTTTTCCCCTCACCGGCTCCTGCTGGCTTGGGAAGACATCCTCTGACTGAGGGGAGGCGGGCATCCATGTCCTGCCCTCCCGTGGAGCCTGTTTTACCCGCTGCAGGTTTCCAGAGTTCAGCACAGCAAGTGCGGGGATGCACCCGCTGGGGGAGGACAGTAGAGTCCCACTGCCGTGTATTTTGCTCAGATTTTAATGAAGGGGAGGATGTGCCCTGGGCCGGGTGAGGGCATCGCCCAGCGTGGGGACTGCAAGGGTCAGGGGATCCCATGAGTGGCTGAGGGAGAGGGTGCTGGGAAGGGGGAGCGGGGAGCTGGTGGGGAGCAGAGCCCACTGTGCAGGTGCAGGTGGGGACACTGCCCACCCTTCCCCTTTGCATAGCCTTGGTGACAGCAGCTGATGCAAGCTGACACGTGGAGGCAGGACAGGTCCATGAGCCGGGCTCTGGGTCTTGTCTTGTCAACAGGGCTGGGGGTACCGTGGCCACCACCCACACACCAGCCAGAGGAGGTGTCACCTCAGTGCCCTTTGCTCTGGTCCATGTGCTTTCCTTGCAGCCAGCCGTACGTCGTGTGCAGACAGTGCCCTGAGTACCGAAGGCAGGCGGGGCAGCCTCTTCCCTGCCCAGGGCCTGGCAGCGAGCCAGGGGCACCAGCAACCCCTGGGGATGCGCCGTCAACATCCACCAGTGTTGCAACAGGTGAGGGGGCTTTGCCTTCTGTGCCGGCGTGACCTCCGGGGCATGGCCTGGCGTCTCTCCTGGCTCCTCTCTGCTCTGCTGTTGGCTACCTTGCATAGCTCATGGCTTCTCACCTGTTTTGGGCTAAGAAACCGTATAATTAACTGGCTCATTCGTGGGCCTCCGCTCCTGGACACACCTGAGGATTCAGTCCCGATTCTCACTCTTGGTGCCCCCGTCGCCAGTGGTGTCGGCCAAGCCAGAATGACCTTCACTCTCCAGTGAGAGACTGGCCTCTTGCCAGCAGCAGGTCACTATTTTAGCAGAGCTGCCCTGTGCTCTCTGTTAACTGCCTGTTTCGATGGGCAGGTGCCCAGGTGCCGTCGGGACCTGGAATGGGAAGTGGACACATGGAATCTGTGTCGTAGGGCCTGGCCTCTCAGCCACTGTCAGCCCAAGCCTAAGAGGCCACTGACTGAAGTGTTGTGACCCAGAGCCCCGTTCTTTACCAGCTGCCACAACACTGTGCCACCGCTCCCGGGGGCTTTCTTATAGGCCCTGCAGATGGGGGTGGGCAGTGCGGTGCATGGAAGACCCCCTTGGCCTCTGTCAGGTGTGTGTGCACAGACAGAGCCTCCCGTGTGGTCTCCAAGTGACTTGGGGCTGGGCCATGTGATCACAACTCCTGGTGCAGGCTCAGCCAGCCGAGACTAGGTACAGAAGTTGCTCTACTCTTTTACAGTGTGTGCTTTATGGCCTGCCCTTCCATCATAGGAGAGGGGAGGAAACCTTCCAGAGATCTTTGAAATCTTGCTACAACTACAGAACCAAAAGATAACGTTGGTCATTTTTCAGTCTCTGTAAAGTTTTTTGTTTAAAGGGTGGCCAGTCACTTGGCTGTTCAAGAGAACAGGTCTGGATTCTGTCCGGGTTTCCTGGTAGGCCTGTGTCCTCATGGGGCCTTTGTAGCCTCCCTGTAGGTGTGGGCCGAGCCGTGTCCTGGCAGGTGTCAGCCTGAATGTTCCTGTCTGTTCCACAGCCCAGGACTACGTGTGTGCCCTGCAAGGAAGCCATGCCATTTGCAACTGCTGCTTCCAGCCCATGCCCGACCGGCGGGCGGAGCGTGAGCGGGACCCTCGCATCGCCCCCCAGCAGTGTGAGTGAGGATGCGCGTACCCAGTCTGCCCATGGACCCCCCCAACGGAGCCCCTCCCGCGTGTCCTTCCAGCTTAGCTTTCAAAGCATTGCTGACTCTGCGTCTGGGGTGAAGCGAGGACATAGTTCTGTTTTCTCCACGCGCGTCACTTGTGGTCCCCGCGTGCCCGTGTCGAGTAATCTGTCTCTTCCCACCGATGGGTAACCCTGCCTCGTCACACACTGAGTTTCCGCACACGGGCGGTTCTCTTCCTGGGCTCTGCATCTGACCCTGTCCCCAGACCAGGGCCATGGTGGTTGTGCAAGGCTCATAGGTGGCAGCTTTGGGGACTGCTCTGAAAACCCAGCTTGCTTGTTGTTTATCGAGGGACTGTTTGTACGTACTGTCCTCACCAAATGCCGTGACCAGCGGCTCTGCTCTGTCCGCAGGTGCTGTTTGCCTACAGCCCTTCTGCCACCTGTACTGGGGCTGCACCCGCACCGGCTGCCTTGGCTGCCTGGCCCCATTCTGTGGTAATGCTGGCCCCTCAGCCTCCCCGAATGAGCCACCTTTCCTGGTTGTCTGTGTAGGTTGCCACTTCAGAAGGGTCAGCGAGCGTTAGCTCAGACCCCAGCAGTAGCAGACCCTGAGTTATGCACCAGGACACCCCACTCAAAACGTGGGCCGGGCCCCCTGAGCCCAAATCAGAGCATTGGAGACAGGCCATTGCAGGAGGGAGTGAAACAGAAGCCCTTTTAACTACTTTTTCTCTGTTCAGTATTGTATTTCATAGTGGAACTTTCCTTTTTTTCCTTTTAAATTGTTTAAATTTTACTGTATTTTTTAACTTAGTTTTTTGGTGGGGGACAAATCGATTTATTCACTTACTTATTTCTAATTTTGTTTTTCAGTGGAGGTACTGGGGATGGAACCCAGGACCTCGTGTGCGCTAGGCACACACTACCACTCAGCTATACCCTCCCCAGCCTCCTGTAGTGGAACTTGTTATTCTTTGTAGACTCAGTAAGGAAGGGGGAAGTGGGGTCATCCTAACTGTCAGGTGAGCGGTGCTTTCGGAAAGTGTCTGAAACAGGTAATACTTCTTCCCTACGTCCTGGCAGAACTCAACCTGGGTGACAGGTGTCTGGACGGGGTGCTGAGCAACAACAACTACGAGTCGGACATCCTAAAGGTACAGGCTGGATGTGGACTCTGGGAAGGCCCCCGGGTCCCCAGAGCTTCCCAGTGCCCTCGGCGACTGCACTTCCGCCCAGGGCTGCCCCTGCATATCTGCTCTTCCTCTACTCTCAAAAAATAGGTGCTCCTTCATGCCCACCATGCTGAGAGTCCAGGAGAATTGTTTCCCATGGGTTCAACTCCTGCTTGCTCCATGCAGAGTGTTCCTGGGGCCGGGGTAGCGGCTGGGCCTCGTGTGGAACCAGGGACTGCCTTTTGGCTGGCTTCCCATGTTTCTGGAGGCAGCCCAGCTCCCAGAATTTCAGTGTCTGACATGTACATCGGTCTCTCGCCAGGAATCTTGCCTCCCCCCCATTTATGTGCAGTGTTGCATAGCCAGGGCTGAGGGCCTTCTCACCTGAATGACAGGCCCCTCAGGACCACTGTTCCGGTTAGATGTCCGCATGGCACTTCCTTGTGGGTTCACACAGAAGGGGCCGAGCGGCTCCATATGTCTCAAGGGCAGAGCCCAGATCCAGTCCCTGGGCTTCCTTGTCCTGTGGTGGTGGATCTGTCGCCAGAATTAGGTGTCTCACTGCTCCTAGGCCAGGAGTGTCTTTGCAGAATCTTAGAAAGAATGTGGTCACTCTGCCACTCAGGCTCTAGAGCTCACCTGCCTTTTGAGAGTCTGAAGAAGCATCTCCGACAGAAGTCTCATTTCCTACCCTGTGGATGTGATACCACATCTGTCCCGGCCTCCAGATCCACGAGGCTGTCCCCGCCGTCCCAGGCTGTGGTCTTAACCTCATGCAGAGCTCGCCCTTGGCTTCCCTCTCCAAGTGCCCACCACTTTGGCTTTACCCAGGTTCATGGGCCTTTGAGGATGTATAAATCCTCTTGCCATTTTAGTGTGTCTTTCTCCACGCTCCAATTTCTTCTCTTGTCCCCGTCTCCATTACAGAATTACCTGGCAACCAGGGGTTTGACGTGGAAAAACGTGCTTACCGAAAGTCTTGTGGCTCTTCAGAGGGGAGTGTTCCTGCTGTCTGGTGAGCCTCGTGGCACTGGCTTTCCTGTCCCAGGGTGGTGGCGCTTTCCAGTGACCTCTGCCTCTTAGAGTAAGCCCCGCCAGGCCTCACTTTGGCGGGACTAACTTGTCTGCCTCCCCACATTCACAACTCTGACCACTGCCCACCCTGGCAGAGACAGACAGAAAGGTCCTGATACTTTTGGATTTCTTTTTTTAAGTTGCATTTGAGTCGACATCTTTTCTCCCATGGTGGGGACGGGGCACAGCCAGAGAGGTGTGGGCTCCACCACTGGCCAGCGTTGATCCAGGGGCTGGATGTACCCAAGCCCTCCCTCAGGGTCCTCGTTGGCCTGGCCCTCGGCGTGTGGGTGACTCAGTGAAGGCTCGCTCCCCCTCCCAAGGACACCCACTGCACTGTGACGTATGAATGCTTATCACTGAGGGAGGGATCAGAAAAATCAGCGAGTGGTTTTTTTTTTTCCTAAGACATGAATTATTATGAAAGGCTTGAGAAGCTCACTAGGACTCTTTCTATGCTGTTTTCGCCTCATGTCTTGGGTTTTCTCTGCTGGGACAGCTCTGTGTGGTTGGGTCTTAACTCTTTTTGCTTTTTAATGACTTGCTATTTTTAGAAGAATAACGTGGTTCACAAAGAAAGTATAAGTGGTACCAAGAAGTCTGAAGGATAAAGAAAAAGTCATTGGAAATCCCACCACCTAAACATACACCCAGTGGTAATACTCTGTAACCACCCTTCTGAACACATGCATTCATGTGTGTACATAATTTTCATAAATGAAATCCTACCATATATGCTTTTTATAACCTGTTCACTCAGCAGTGTATCTTAGAGCCTTTCTATATCAATAAAGATCTGTGCCTTGATTTTTAATTATTATATAGTGTTCTGGTATCATAGTTTGTTTAGCCAATCTGTTAGTAAAGGGTATGTATTTCCAGCTTTTCACTACTTGAAATGGCGCTGAAGCTGCTGAGCATGCAGTACTGTGGGTTTAGAAATCGCCCACTTAGGGCAACAGGCAGATGGTCGGAGAACAGCACGCATGGTTGAGACGTGCCTCGAGGGCAGCACCACCTGAGCCTGTCAGCCTGTGTTTGTCTTTTAGGTCTTGTAAACATGAAAGGGACAAACAGTGAGATGTCATTGTTTTATCTGCCGTCTTTGACTCTTAACAAAATTGAGGAGCTTTCTGTTTTTGTCTTTTTCTTTTTTAAAAAATACCTTTATTGTGGTCTGGTTCCTGTACAGTAAGCTGCACATATTCCATATGGGCACTTTGATGAATTTTGATAGCTGTGCGCACCCCTGAAACCACCCCCACAATCAAGGCAGCTGACATTCCCATCCCTCCCCAACTGGCACAATTTTCTAGTTCCCTATTCATCCCTTCCCACCCCCTTTACTCCCTGGTAACCGTAAGTTTGTTCTCTATGTAAGTCTGTCTCTGTTTTGTAGATAAGTTCATTTGTGTCCTTGTTTTTAGGTTCCATAGATAAGCAATGTCATAGGGCATTTTTCTTTCTCTTTCTGGCTTACTTCACTGAGAATGACGACCTCCAGGTCCATCCATGCTGCTGCAAACAGCATTATTTCATATTTCATGGCTGAATAGTATTCCATCATATATTTACCACAGCTTCTTTATCCAGGCATCTGTCAAGGGGCAAAAAATATTTCAGTTTTTCACCCAAGTGGAATTATTTTGCTGTGAGGAAGTAAGTAAGTTGGCGTCTAGATGGGTTTTGTTCTTTGTGAACACCCAGCCCACCGTCGCCACCCTATGCACAGGTCTGGGCTTTGGTTTCCCCATGGCTCACAGGGCTGCGTCTGCTCTGCTGTTCTGGCGCGGGTAGTGAGCTGTGTTCCTTCCAGATTACAGAGTCACCGGGAACACCGTGCTATGCTACTGCTGCGGCCTGCGGAGCTTCCGAGAGCTGTCCTACCAGTATCGGCAGAACATTCCCGCTTCCGAGCTGCCGGGTGAGGAGACGCCCCAGCCCTGCCTGCCCACCACTCACTTCTGTTTGGATTGGCTTCTATGCTCCGTGGTAATAGCCAGAGGTTCTCTTTGGGCCAGAGGGCACCAGGGCCATCCATGCCTGTCTCGGGCTGTGGGCTGCCTGCTGTTTGCTCAGGCTCTGGGTCTGTGAAGTAGGTTCCTAAAACGATGCACGGAAAGCATCCTCTGGGCAACTGGACAATCTCATTCTTTCCTCTCCTGAGGTCTTGGAACGGGGCAAGGAAACGAGTCAGAAAGTGTGACGAGTGCCACATTTGAGCTGCAGTTTCTCTTCTCGGATCTCTGTTTACATGCACTTGGCTTAGCCAGGGAGTGTGAAGTTAATTTTTTTCTCTTCCTAGTGGCTGTAACATCCCGTCCTGATTGCTACTGGGGCCGCAACTGCCGCACTCAAGTGAAGGCCCACCATGCAATGTGAGTGCAGTGTCAGGGGCTGGGGCACAGGCTCCAGGCCGCCAAGGGGCTGTGGGGGGTCCCCTGCAGAAGGGCCAACCTGTGCCCGCCCAACAGGAAGGTGCTTTCTTAAAGTGTTTTGGCCAAGTTGATACAGTAGGTTTTAGGGATGTTCATGAACTAGTCAACGATCCACTTATAAATGTACTAACTCAGCTGTCACGCTTTTATCAAGTCACATAGTATACAGAAAATCTCCATCACCTAGAAATTCTGCTTCTCTGTTACCTCATTTCATAAAAACTTTGCATGCAAATGCTCACCTCCTCCTCCACTGCCATGTCTCCGGAGCACAGCCCGGCATTCCCAGCCCACGCGTTCAACGTTCAGCACTTTCCGAATCAGTGGCTGTGGTCACTGAGAACTTCTTCCTGAGCCACGGTTGCTGCACACCTGGCTCTGTCTTTGGTGCTGTGGGTGCTGGAACACTGGGCATTTCCCCTAGCTCTTTAGAGGTCTGCTGACATGGACGTTCACATTGCCCAGGCGGCCGCCCATGCAAGCAAGTTCGCCTCCACTTCCAAACCTCGAGAGACAGTGATCACACAAGTCAGTCTCGTGGATTGATGCTGTTTGAGAGTACTGTGATCCCCAGACAGTCACGGGAGGTTCAAATTAAGGTAGTTGAGGGAGCACCCTTGGTTCAAGAGGCATCGTGAGGACTCGGAAAGGCAGCTGCCTCAGGGGTGATTTGTGGAATAAAAACAAATCTGCCTTTGTATCTGAGCACAAACCACATGGAAGAGACCATTTTAATCTAAGAAAAAAGATTCCATTAGCAACTGTCTAACCTTTTTGGGGGGGTGAGTAATTAGGTCTATTTATTTTTTTATTTTATTTTTTTATTTTTAAAATGTGTTTTTAGAGACGGTACTGGGGATTGAACCCAGGACCTCGTGCATACTGAGCACATGCTCTGCCACTGAGCTGTACCCGCCCCCTTGGCTAACCTTTCTTAATAAAGACATAGGTAAAGACAGCAAAATCACCCTCATCTTCTCCGAGAAGAGGTGGCGGTGTTGTTAGCCCCGCAGGGTCCCCGCAGTGCCTTGGGGACACCAGCGAGGCACAGCTTGGAGTCTCTTCTCCCAGAAAATTCCCTAGATGTTCAGCTTCTATTTTAAAATGTAAAAAGGAGGAAAGAGCCTGCACTGGGGGTGAGTTTCTTTGACGGTATGAAGAACACGCCCTTGCAAACTCTCAAGGACACAGTTGAGCTCTCCTGGAGGTCTTGCCCATGCAACTTCAGAGTTCCTTTATCTGAAATGTTCTCTGCGCCCTCTGGTGTAACTCGACTGTTTTCTCCCTGCAGGAAATTCAATCACATCTGTGAACAGACGAGGTTCAAGAACTAAGCATCCAGTGAGGCACCCAGATGGCTGAGGAATATTGGAGGTCGAGGACACGTGTTTCAGAAAATACCGAATTCCGACAGTTTGAGGGCATTTTACAGCCCCCCTTAGGGGACACTGGGAGGGGGATCTCCGCGTCGGGCCCTGTGGTGTGACTTTTACTTTGCGGAGTGAGACCCTCGGTAAGAAGCCCTCCAGTGGCCTGGGAGGTCCAGGGCGGCACAAGCCGTCCACCGAGCTCTGGGGCCCGAGAAGCAGCCGTCACCTGTTCCCTCCCACTGAGATGACCGCAGGCCTGCCCTCTGCACCTTCCCGCACCACTGCAACACAGCCATCCCTCTTCAGGAGAAGCGTCCTGGGAGAGGGAGGAAAGTTTGTCAGGAGCGCTGTGTCGTTTGAGGAAGGGGAGGCTGACAGGCCGTGGGCGTCCAGCACGCCTACTGCAGGGCGAGCCAGCGTCTCACGCTTGTGTTTTCATAGATTTGGTGCTTATCCTCTAATAAGACTTACCTATCACAACCAGTAGCACAAATGATATAATTTATAATGTACAAATTGGACTAAAATTGGGGCTAGTATGATATTTGAAAGAGTATGTCTCTGTTGATTACAAACAAGTCATCAGCCGTCCAGGGCTACTAACCCCAGACCCCTGGCGTCGAGGGCACGGTCGGGCCCATTTCTTGCTCCTCCCCTGTGTTGGGGACTGGGGGCTGCCCAGGGGTCACCCCCTGGCTCCTGTGGAGCAGCCCCTTCCCGCCAAGAGCTTGAGGGACCTGCGCTTCCCTGAGTCCTCACCCTCTCCTCCTGCGTTGGGTGTGCCGTGTCATCCGGAACAATACTTGAAATTTTGTTCTTTGTTTAAAAAAAAAAGTTTGTTTATCCTTTGTCGAAATCATCTGTTAGGTTTGTCTGCAAAAGGGTAACTTTTTTGCTTCTCCTCAGGAATACAATTTTCAGCTTTGTCTTGCTCTTGATGCAGACTGAGAAGCAGCGCTCTGGAAGAAGGCTGCCTTCCTGCGTCCCAATAAACAAGCCGTGTCTGTTTCTCTACCCAGCACGTTGGTTCGTGTGTTGGCTGCTGTGTGCTCCTTCTGCTGCGGTGGGGACTGGCTGCAGGTGGCACTGGTTACCTTATTAACAGAGAGAGTCCACTGGGGACCCCACTTGGAGGAGCCTAGCAGGCTCTGCAGGTGACCTGGGGTTGGGGGCCCAGGGCTGGCTGAGCACCTGGTAAAAGGCGCAGGTTCTCTTGGGTCCTCCAACCCTGAGCCACAGCCAGTTGGGCCCAGGTTGAAGCCACAGCTTTGTGTCTAGTTGTGTGGGCACAGGGCTGCCCTCCACCACCTAGGACGTTGGCTCGTCGCCCCCTTCATGCCCAACCCGACCCCTCTCCCGAAAGTAAGAACAGAGATGCAGGCCCCTTCGCAATGTACTTGCTTTTTTTGGTCGAGGCTTAAACAACACGCAGCCTTCCTTGGACTATGCTGCATCTGTCTGTGAAGGCAAAGGCACAGCCCTGCTGGGGGAACTTGGAGTCCCCGTTGCTAACGAGCATACGGGATCAAAACAGTCAGCTCTAACCCGGGGGAGGAGCCTCGGGATGGGGTGGGGGTGGGTCTCTGGGCTTGAGGACAAGCTGTTTTACAAGGTGTGCACCACGCAATGTTTTATGATCTGTCCCCCCCGTCCTTCACCCTCTCTCCCACCCTACCCAGTGGCCATTCCGCAGCTGTGCTGGAGCCTTGCCCTGTGCTTCTGTCCTCATGGCTCAGGCCACATTGGGGAACATGGCCGGCCCATGCAGAGGGCCTCCCATGTGCTTGTCTTCAGTTTCTTGGGCCCAGCCCTTGTCCTCTCCCAGCCTCTGTCAGCCTGTATGCAGACCCGTGTTCCTCTTGGGCTCCCCTTCCTCCTTTAGAGAGGCTGGCCCCCACCTCACATCAGCTGTGTAGCCTCCAGGGCCTGCACATTAGCCCTCCCTGGCCTGTGGGTCCAAGCTCCGTCTTTGTCCGGATTCCTGGTGTAACCAAGAACCCAGCAACACATCTGAAATACCTCGTGGCTAAAAAGATAGGAAGTGCAGGCTCAGATCCAAAAGCTACAGGTTGACATCAGTGGATTTTACTCCAGGGAAATGCCTCAGCTGGGAGAGAGAGGAGTCTAGGCCAGGCCTCTGCTGGGGGGATGGGGGTCCTGCAGCTAGACCATCCCTCATGCAGCCCACAGAGAAGAGGCCAGCTGCTTCAGATGACACCAGTGGCTCAGCACCAGGAAACTAACCGTGCTCTGGAGGAAGTGAAAATGTGGGGACTGTGGGATTTAGGAAGGCCAGAGTGTCTGGATGCGGGAACCTGCATGCGATCCTGGGTCATTCCTCCCAGACCTCAGCTTCCCTCCAGGCAGGAGTGGGTGAACTGGTGGCTTCCCCAGCAGTTAAGGTAGGAGCCTGTCTCTGACCCCAAAGCTGATGACCCACCAGTCCTGAGCCTCCCACCACCTGTCAGCCACCAGCACCCCTTAGGCGGGTGGGGTGGGGCAGGGGCTGTGTCACCGCCAGGAGGGCAGACTGGCTACTGGGCCAGACAGCCTGCCAGATCTCAGCCGACCCTGACGGCGGCCCTCGCACTCCCAGGCCTGACCCTAATGGGAACCGTGCTGGCTGGGCCTCAGTTACTCCCCTTGGAAAGGCCAGCCTGTGGTGGGATGTGTAGCCACGTGCTGCTCCAGTTCTCAGCTGCACACGGATGTCCTTTCCTCCCTGGCTTTCCTCTCTATCCTCCCCTGGATGTCAGCAAAGCGGACGCAGCAGGAACAAGCTGTGCGAGGTCCTTCCTGCGCTCAGCCGCCACCCTGTGCAGAGAACCCGTGGATCTGCCAGCTGAAAGCAGCCAGCTGCACCATGAGCCCTGGTGACTCACAGAAGGGCCACCTGGCCAGATCCCAGGAGACAACTGTCACCATCTGAGGAATGACTCCAGGTGGTAGCTTAAACACAGCTATCTAGAAAAATCATATAAACTTGCAGTTCGTAAGTTATAATTCAAACAGAGGTAACAGGCACTGACGATCATCCCTTCTTGATGAATGTGCTGCCTCTGACCACTCCCTCTGCTTCCAGGGGTGTCTGTGTCTGTACCTGTGTGTCCCCCGTGGTGCTGCGCTGGGTCCAGTTTGTGGACCTCACTGCTGGTAGATTGAAACTGGCCCCACTAAGTGCATGCACCCCATGGAAACTGGTAAATGCTGCAAATCAGGGTCATTTTCTTGTTGTTTCTGGAGAAAACTTGGTTAAAGTTTGCCTACCAGCACACCACTGCCCCTAGCCAATATAGTCGTGAGAAATATTAGTTGTTGGAAGCCACTGTGTTTTGGGTTGGCTGCTTACAGAACAACAAAGATAATACCGTAGACCACAAAGGCCCAGCACTGGATGGCTCCTGCCCCCTCCTCAGCAAACCCCTTGCATCCGCCTCTCCCCGGGGTCTCGTACAGAGCGACCCAGACCTGCGCCCTCACGTGTACTGCTTACTCTGTTGCTACTGCTTCTGCTGCAGAGATGGTGATGCCGTCTCCTCACTCAGGGCTCGGCTCAGATCCACTCCTTGGAGAGGCCTCCCAACCAGCCTTTCTAGTCTACTTCCAGGTGCCTACCACTGGAAAGCAGACGTTTCTGTACTGTTTACCTCCCATTCAAAATTCCAGAGCAGATGGAAAATAGTATGGAGATTCCTTAAAAAACTAAAAATAGACTTACCCTATGATCCAGCCATCCCACTCCTGGGCATATATCTTGAGGGAACTCTAATTTGAAAATAAACATGCACCCCATTGTTCACAGCAGCACTATATACAATAGCCAAGACATGGAAAAAACCTAAATGTCCATCAACAGATGACTGGATAAAGAAGCTGTGATATATATATACAATGGAATACTACTCAGTGATAAAAAATAATAATGCCATTTGCACCAACATGGATGGACCTAGAGATTGTCATTCTAAGTAAAGTAAGCTAGGAAGAGAAAGAAAAACACCATATCACTCATATGTGGAATCTGAAAAAGAAAAGAAAAAGGAGGACACTAATGAACTTATCTACAAAACAGAAACAGACTCACAGACATAGTAAACAATCTCATGGTTACCGGGGAAAGTGGGGTGGGAAGGGATCAATTTGGGAGTTTGAGATTTACACATGATAACCACTATACATAAAAATAGATTTTAAAAATGTTCTTCTGTTACAGCACAGGGAACTATATTCAATATCTTGTGGTAACCTTTAATGAAAAAGAATATGAAAATGAATATATGTATGTATATACATGACTGGGACATTATGCTGTATACCAGAAATTGACACATTGTAACTGACTGTACTTAAATTAAAAAAAAAATTCCGGAGAAAGACCCTTCCTGTCTTGCTCACTGGTGTAAACTGGTCTGAAACATCTGATGCAGGCAAGCGTCTAGTGATTGCTAGCAGACTGGTCCTCACAAAGACCCAGCTCAGACATCCCTGTCCTGGGACTCTTCCCCGAGGCACAGGTGACTGCTCTTAACCCCTCCTCTCTGTTAAACCTAATTCTGTCTCATTTTTCTGTGCTTCCTTCTGAAGATGGTGAACCTGGAACTGCATCCTCATCCTGGGCCTGACAGGACAGGTATGGGAAGGCGTGTTGAATGTTAACTGGACATGGAGTTACTGGTGTCCACTGTGTGTTGTGAGCAGTGCTTCCCTCAGTAGCAGCTTTGTGTGCCAGTCCCCTGGTGCTGTGTAACAAACACCACATATGGGGTGGCCTGAACAACAGACACTCCTGGCTTCACGGTTCTGGAGATCAAGGTGTGACAGGGCTGGTTCCCTCTGAGGCCTCTCCCCTGGGAGTGGAGTTGGCCGTCTCCTCCCCATGTCCTCACAGGGTCACCCCTGCACATATCTGTGTCCTGATCTCCTCTTTTTAGAAGGACATCAGTCATTTTGGATAGGGGCCCACACATATGACCTCATTTTACCTTAATCACCCATTTCAAGACCCTATTTCCACACACGGTCACATTCTGAGGTCCTGGGGGGTTAGCACGTCAACGTGTGAATTTGAGGGGGACACAGTTCAGCCTGTAACACTTCGTCGTCAAACATCAAACACCACAGGTTTTGATAAAATCAGGTGGGGTTTTCTGGCAAACCCCACATCCTCGATATTATTTAACACCCTGTGGGACACAATACCATTTACAATTACTCCAAAGAAAATGAAATACTTAGGTATAAACTTAACAAAACATGTACAGGATGCCAAAAATTACAAAATGCTGATGAAATAAGTCAAAGAAGATATAAATAAATGGAGAGACGTACCATGTCCATGAATTGGAAGAATCAACATAAATAGTAAAAATGCCAGTTCTCCCCAACTGACTTACAGTTTTAATGCAATTCCTATCAAAGTCCCAGGAAGGACTTTTGAAAACACAGATAGGCTTATTCTATAACTTATATAGAACGACATGGGCCCCAGAATAGCTATAACAATCATGAAAAAGAATAAAGTGGGAGGAGTCCTCTACGCCATATTGGGGCTTGCTGTAAAGCTACCTCCGTGAAGACTGTGGAATTGGCAGAGGGATAGGCATGGAGATCATTGCAACAGAGTAGAGAAACCGGAAACAGCCAACAAGCAGCCAACTGATTTTTGACAAATGTGCAAAAGCAAGTTAATGGAGGAAGACAGACTTTAATTAACAAACGGTACTAGAACAATTTGATATCCACAGACAAAAAAAAAACCCTTCACCTAAACCTCATGCCCAATGCCTACAATATTTTATTTTTAAGATGAAACATTGCTACGACTCCAAAGCAGCAGTCACTTTGGTATTGGCACCCGAAAGATTAGTAAGGACAGGTGCAAAGGAAGATTTGGTGCTGAAAGGGGACCCACCCGGACCAGCGCCCCGCCCCGCCCCCGCGTGCCGCCTAGCCACGCCCCCAAAGAGGTAGGGGCGGGCCCAGAACGGCCACGCCCCACATCCTGACAGATAGGGCTGGGAC